TTCCCCTCTACTATCATCACCGCCTCTACCACCCCGCAATCCCTCTCTATCACTTTCACTCTTTACTTCTACCCTCTTACCACCTCTTTCATCTATCTCTTCTTATCACCATCATCATCTCTACTGCTTCACAACCTCTTCTATCACTTTCATTCTCTATCTCTACTCACTGTTACCATCTCTTTCACCTCTTTCACTCTCTACTCTCTCTATCACCATCATCATCTCTACTTCTTCTACTACTCTCTTTCACTCTGTATCATCTCTATCATCATTATCAGATTAATCAGAGCTGTATAGACTGCAGAGTCAGCTATTCAATCTCATTCATGAGTTCAAAGAGATATATATGACATCACATGAGATTTTATTACGAAGTATTTAGCAGTATATACTATAAACACAGAGATCAAAATGTGATAGAGATAGTAAGAGAGAAGTAGAGATAGTGAAAGTGATAGAAAAGACTGAAGAGCAGTAGAGATAGTAATGATAATAGAGAGAATAGAGGTGAAAGAGGTGATAGAGGTGATAGAGGTGATAGAGGTGGTAGAGGTCGTAGAGGTGGTAAAGAGAGAGTAGAAGTGAAAGAAATGATAGAGGTGATAAGAGAGTGAGTGATAAGATGAAGATAGAGTAGAGATATGAAGTGAAAGTGATAGAGAGAGCTGTGAGATGATAGAGACAGTGGTGATGATAGAGATAGTAGGAGTGATAGAGGTGGTAGAGGTGGTAGAAGTGATAAGAGTGAGTGGTAAGATGGGGGTAGAGGTATGAAGTGAAAGTGATAGAGGGTGCTACGGGGCGTTAGAGGCGGTGGTTATGATAGGGGGTAGATAGAGTGGTAGATTAGAAGGAATTGGCAGGCGCCACTACATATTCATGGATTTTTGATGAGGTGCACGTGATGTCACGTTACAGTGTTTTTTGCACGGAAAAGTTGGTTTTTCTTTAATATATAGAGAGATGAAACTCTTCAAATGCTTAGCATGTTGAATCTCAGAGTTTCAAGTGTATAATCTTCATATTAAATACTGAAAGAGATTGAACACTGTAATATCTGATATAATCAGTCACAGACTCAATTTCATAAGTGAGAATTCTGTAAACCAGGTATAAGAGAAGTTCATATTAAATATATAAAGAGAATGCAAGAAATCAGAATAAGTAAACACAATAATCTCTTACTTGAAGAATGACAAGATGTCAGATAATAAGTATCTTATAAAAGTATTAGAAGAGATACTTCTGAACTTTAAGCTGAGAAAATTGAAAAATAATGTTGTACTTTACTGTAATCTAGAATATATAGAAGCTTTCTATCTGAAATATTCATTTAGATGTGACTTAGTAACTTACATGTACAAGAAATTCAGTCACTTAGAAAGCTCTGAACTTAAGAATATACTTGAATCAAGAGTGTACTGATCAAGCATGACTTAGAACATCTAGATATATACTCACAAGTGCCTGAATTATCAGATTGTAAAAGAATCTAAGAAAGGGTTAGAATAGAAGAAAGTATAATATCAGATAAAATGTATAATACAATTATTCAAACAATGAGAAATAAATTCTATAGATATATTACTGTGAATATCAAAGGAAAATCATTGAATAATTACTACTATTGACTACACTACTGACTGGTGAGTTGTGAAAGCAGATTCAGAGATGATAGAGAAGATAATAGTACAGTCTCTATATAATAAGATGAATATTGACTAGGAAATACTGTGTGAGATTCTAACTGATAATGATGTGAATCTTATAGAAGAAGTGATGAGATATTTCATGAGCTAGTTACAGATAAGATATCATAGAACAATGCTATATCATTCACAGATGAATAGAAAGATGAAACACTGGAATGAAATCTTAAGTAACATACTGATAAAATATCTGATGAGTAGGTCAATAAGACTATAAGATGAATATCTCAGGCAGATGCTATTAATCACACAGATTTGATAATATGCAGTCTCTAAGTGTTCATTATTCTATCTGTTGTATGAATTGTATTCATGCATTTCAGAGAATGCTTCAGAAAAGGTGAAGAAGAAAACAGTAGTTATGAATACAGCAGTCACAGTTACAGATGCAGCAGTTGCAGATGCAGAATCAAGATTGAAAGAGATCAGTCACACACATGTAAAAGCTAATGAGTTACTTCTGAACTAAGCAATTCAGTTAAAAAGAATATGAGACTCACTAGTTAAGTAATTAAGTCTCAAGATGAGAACATAAGTTCTCATACACAATAAGACTTCTGAGAAGTTTCAATATAGATGATTTAAGCTCTATAAAATACTCAAATCACATCTGCTGAGAACATACACATTGAAAGAATCAGAGAGATGAATCTTATACAACTTAATAAATAATTTATATCTTATAAAGATGAAGATGTAAGACCTGAGTGAATTATGATTATCTGCAGCACTATTGTCAGTAGACTGGCCGCTGAGACCATGAATTTCATATTTGATCTCATTTGGTCTAGTCTCATACATTTCTTGGTGTGAATTCCGCTGAGACTAATCATTGAAAAAACATGTAAAGTGACTATATATCAGATCTCAAAATGAAACCATGACTTAGAAAAATTAAGAAAGTGATTTCCTTTGAGCTCATTTAGTCTCATTCTTGACATAAAGTTACTATTTTTAGACATTTTAAGGTTTTTTTAGACTATTTTTAATTTTTTAAAAAGTAACACGTTTTGATAATACTCAAATAAGATTCAAAGTCATTTAAAGCAATAAAAATAATTTAAATTGAGAAGTGAAAATCATGATCTTATTTGAAAAATGTGATAAGAGTAGACAGTAAGTCTTACTAAAACAGTATGAGACTACTATTTAATATTAAAACTGTGTAATAAGATCAGTTGAATTAATAATGAAATCATCGAATATTCTGATTCTGATCTCAGACACGGTCACACGGTCAGTCTAATTATCAGTGTTGAAAAAGAAGAAGCTTATGATTGAAAAGCCTTATAAAGTAAGAGAAATCATAGATACTTACAAATCAGATAATCTCACTTATTTCAATCTTTTCATAATTATAAGAAAGGAATGAGAAGCAATGAAGAAATCAGATAAATAGCATACTTCAATAAGTGATGAGACTGTAGCTGATCATATAATAATATACTGCAGACAGCAGATATAATACAGTACAGAGTGATCTCAAAGCAGCAGACTTGTATATAAGTCAGATTATAGAAGAAAAAAGAATTCAGAGTTGAATTTAACTGTTTACATCAGTTCAATTATGAAGATAACAGAGGATGAAGCATCTGAAACATCTGTGAATGAATGAGATCAAGTTATCTCAGTCTCTGAGAACACTCAGAGATCAGATAAGATTAGTTTCAATGAGCTGTTCACTGTAGTAATCTAAGTAAGTGAAGAGACACAGTATAATATATGAGACAGAATCACAAGATGAAAGCTGCTGAACCTAGTCACTGAACACTGTACTATATAGACATTGTATAAGAGTAGTGACTAGCAGACAAAGAAAAAGTGTAAGAAAAGAAAAGAGAATGACTCAAGAAATAATGAATTGATAATTAACTGTAAGAGTCAGCTGTAAAAAGACAAATGTTATCATATATACGTCATTTCTTTTTCATATATCATATATTTAATCTATTTTCAATGCCACGCCACTGAAAGAAAAATGCTAAAAATAAAGGAAATCTTAAAACTTGAGATCTGCAAGGAATTTGAGAGCTGTAAGTCACTCTCATAATAATATTATATGTCTCTAATTTCTCTATCACTCTGTGTATAATATTAATATCATTTATCACAAGATTGACTGAAATGCCAATATAGAAATGTGTACATGTATGTGTAGAAAAATTAAAGAAGAGCATGAGACTTATAGAATTAGAAGTCCGAGTAGAAGAGACAGAGATGAAAGAAATAAAAGAAGAAGAGAGTGCAGAACTGAATAAATAATGATAAGAGTCACTCAGAGATGAATACTTATAACTCAGTATGTATATAATCTTTCTCGCAGAGAAGGAAGAGAGAATGACAGAAGAAGCTTAAAGATGAGAGAGAGTAGTCTCAGCAGTGTTATTATTTTCGTAGATTAAAATAATCTCTGATATCAGAGTAACTAAGAATCATTATTAGTATATAAAATTGCAAAATCAGAGATGAGAACAGTTACTAAATGAACACTCACTGATCTTAGATTTGTACACATAATTACAAGACATATAAGACTTCTCAAAAAGAGAGAGAGAAATATGAAGAAATACAGAAAGAAGAACATAATATATGAACAGCTTATTCTCATAATACTATCTCAGACAAGATGTATAAGTCTCACATCTGTAGATATAAAAGAGTATAACATTCATGTTTCTATTTCTGAAAACACAGATATCTTTTACCTGTATTATAAAGTCAGATAACAGATATCAGAGAATAGGCTGATACAGATCTATTATTTCAAAGAAATTCATTAGAGTGAATATACTTATAATATTAAACTTTACAGTTGTAAAAAGTTTCTTGATATCTGTAGATATTATAATCTTATATATAATAAAACTTATAATGATTTTCTCTAGAAAAATCAGTATTAGAAGAGAAGAAGAAAAAGAAAAAGACTTATAATCTCAGTACTATTAAAGAGAGAGATAATTCTCTAATATGAATAAATAATTATCTTATTATAAATATTTAAATGAATGTAATAAACAGTATCTGTGACTGAGCTTTAAATAATTATATTATATACAGTCTTTGTGTAATAAATTGTTCTAGAGATTAGTAAAAAGAATGAAAGTATACATACTGAGAAATATAATTCATTAAGTCTATACAATATCTCTTTGAAATGAAAAGAGCTGGTAATGAAAGTAGAAGCAGTAGCAGAGACAGAGAGAGCAGAAGTAGCAGAAGCAGAAGTAGTGAAAGTGAGGATTATAAGAACAGAAATAGCAGGAGCGGGAGAATCAGACACAGAGACAAGTGTAGAAGATCGAGAGAAAGTAGCAGAGAAAGAAATAGAGAGAGTAGAAGATAATACAGAAGACTCAGTTACATATAATACAGACAATTTCTTCATTATCATATTCTTCAAGTTCTCAATTAATGATTTAATATTGAGATGTTCACTATCATCTACAGATATAAATCTGTCAATACATGAAGATTCTATACAAATTAAAACAATATATCAGTATCTGTGTACATGCAAAACACAATCAGAAAACACAATCAGATAACTACTGAGAAAAGAAAGTTAAGAGTGTATAAGAAAATGAAGAAAATATGCTATTCATGATAGTACATTCTGATAATTATTAGAAGATAAACAAGTTCTGATCATATTTTACAATGTATTACACTTACTGCTAACAAACTGCCTGATATAAGTACTATGATAATGCTTGTTATAAGAATGAGAGATCATTATCAGAAATGTATACAATGTAATAGATAAATGAATAGAAGATGTTAAACAGAAGAAGAGACAGAAATCTTGAATAAGATAATAACGTTCAATGATAATAATGATGATTGAAGAATGGAAAAAGTTAGTGAATGTGTAATATAATATAGTGAAAGTTTCTTTGTGAGAGTGTAGGCAGAACACTAGCTGAATCAGAGATAGACTATAAAATTACAAACACTAGCAACCTGCTAATATGCATGAAGCTAGAGCTTATGTTATAATCACATAAGTGTGACTGAATCTGATAAGGGAGAATGTGATTCGGAAGAACATATAACCGCTGAATAATAACGCGGCCGCTTTTAAACAAACTTATAAATGTAAAAGAAGCTCTAGCAGTCACTAATTTAGTATAACATGTATAAGAAGCCGGCATACGCCTGTAATCGTACGCTGGCTCAAGCAATCTTTAAATCACAGCTTTTTAATAATGCTTTTTAATAACACTACTGTTAATTTTGAATAGATTGACTAATAATTTAAATATCACAGATTCAAAACATTACTAATGTAATTTGTATCTTCTTTAAATAATAATAACAATTCTATAATATTTAATAAATAAATAAATCAGTTACATCTCAACTGATCACTAAGATTATGAATTTCATATTTGATCTCATTTGATCTGATCTTATACATTTCTCGATATGAATCCCGCTGAGACTAGTCATTAAAAAAACATGCAAAGTGACTATATATCAGATCTCAAAATGAAATCATAACTTTAAAAAAATGAGAAAGTGATTTCATTTAATTCATTTAGTCTTATTCTTGGCATAAAGTTACTATTTTTAGACATTTTAATGTTTTTTTTAGACTATTTTTAATTTTTTAAAAAGTAACACGTTTTAGTAACACTTAAATGAGATTTAAAGTCATTTAAAGCAATAAAAATAATTTAAATTGAGTAGTGAAAATCATGATCTCATTTGAAAAATGTGACAAGAGTAGACAGTAAGTTTCACTGCAACAGTAAAAGACTACTATCTAATGTTAAAACTGTGTAATAGTATCAGTTGAATTGATAATGAAACTATCAAAAATTCTGCTTCTGATCTCAGACACGGTTATATGATCAGTCTAGTTACATCACTGAATATGATACAGAATATTAAAACACAGTGAAGTTCAATATATAAGATAACTGTTCAGACTCTTTAATTATATTAGATAATTGATCATTGAGTATAACACTTTAATTAGAAAAAGATTCAGATATTAAAACTATCTAATATGAAGTGAACTGAGTTGAAATATATAATTGATTTACTGTTTTAATTTTATAAGATAATAAAGACAGTCTTAATCACTTATACATCAATGCTGCAGTCAGTCTGATGAGTGTATAACAGTTTATTTACTTATCTTAAGAAGCAGTTGAATTACTTCAAAAGAAATTCAGTCTGAGATAATACTATATCACAGACTATTATTACTGTAAGAAATAAACCTATATATTACTACAGTAAAACTGAACAATCTTTTGCAGAGTACTATACTATAGCAGCTCTACTAAATTTCTTCTATCAAGTTAATATCTACACTTCTCAAGATTGAACAGAGAAGAAATGAGACTCATATATTAAATTAGTCTGAGACTACTATAATATTAACTATCACAGATTTGAATAAGCAGATATTCAAGATGTAAAGACAGTGAAATACAATTCTCTAATAAGTAATGATCTTTGATAATACTTTATATTTTAAAGAACTATAATACTAACTTTGAAACAGAACTTATATACATTCATTACAACTGAAAATTAGGCAAAACTATATACTTATAAAACTGAATTTAACTGCTATCATCAAGATAATCTGATGAATTTATGTACTAAAGCAATGATAGAGTTATGAAAAATTGTTAAGAGTATATAATCAACTGTTGCACAGATAATATATAATATTCTAATAATTTCATTGACAGAGATAAGAATGAAGTGAAAGTTCAACTCAAGTCAAGATATCTATCACTATTATCAGAAATAATTCTAAGAAGAAACAATCAAGAAACTCATAATTGTAAAATATAAAATTATCAGACAGTTTAATATCTCTAATCACAGTATATCAGAGAAGTGTAGTTTTCATAACAAAGTGAAGAATAAACTTACACAAGAATGTATTTAGTTATTTCATGAGTATTATTAATAATTGTTATCAAATTCTGATTATATAAGTAATCACTGAATAAACTAAATGAGACTGAATTTAATCTTCAGTCTCAGTCTCATTCTGATTTTGAAAGAATGATTATCTTTCACAGTTTATTCTGAGAAATTACTCTCATTTCACTGTTCTTGAATTAAATCTGATCATTTTTCACATCATTTCTCTTAGAAATGATTCATTTTCAGATTTTTTTTAAGACTTGATTCTGATAGAACTCACATCAAGAAATGTATGAAATCAGATTAAATGAGATCAAATGTAAAATTCATCATCCGGGCGGCCAGTCTAGTCACACAGTCAGTCTACTACTACATATTCATAAATTTTCGATGAGGTGCATGAGATGTCACAATACAGTGTTTTTTACATGAAAAAGTTGGTTTTTCTTTAATATATAGAGAGATTTATGAATTACAATATTAATATACTTTAAATAATATAATTTAATAAGAATTTGATAATACTCTCTTTCACATTATTGATATATTTTAAGAAATATGACAGAGATTAATTAAGATTTTTATTTACTTTCATACATTGATAATATTCAATCGGAATTAGTACTAAAAATATAACTAAGCTAAGAAGAGTATTTTCTTTTATAATAATTCTTTTTATACACATCAGTGATCAGTTATTGAAAATAAACTATTATCTTTCTTAAATCTTTATTATATCTTCTAAATTCACTTCTTTCACTTCTATTGAAGATTTATAAACTTTTCAAGAAATTACTGTGAATTACAAAGTCTATATTATTTATAGTTTAATACAGAATACTCTCTTTCAATTATAATAAATAATTACTTCATTCTTCATATCTGATTTCAGATTATGAAATTTATGAAAAACTCAATATAAACACTAAGATACACTATGAAATAATTATTCACAGATTGTATTGCAGATTACTGAAGAGTCATCTCTCTACTATAATCACTGTAACTTTATTCAGAAACATTCATTATAAACTGTTTATAACTCTGAAGAAATTTTCTGACATCTGAAGTCATTGAGATACAGATAATAAAAGAAAGAGAAACAGTAAATTACTACTAAGCTAATAAGTGACTCTATCAGATAATGATTTTTAATAATACTAACTTTCTAATTTGAAGAAAATTATATGAAAAGAATAATATATCAGTACTCTGATTTCAAAACTCTTATCTAATAACTTCTATAAATAATTACTTTATATATGTATATCTCTGAATCTTTCTCTGCAATTAATTGAAAACTCTGAATTCTGAATACTTCTTTAAATACTTAATTCAAATCTTCATATCTTATATTAATTCTGTCTTCAGTTCAATTTCAAGATATACTATAAAGTGAATATACAACATTTAGAATCAGAGTTAAAGAATCATTGAAGAGTATCTCTTACAGTGAATGTATAAACTAGTATAAACAATCTTACATTTATAAAAGTGACATGATATTTCATTAATAAGATGTGATTCAAAGATTGCTTGAGCCAGCGTACAATTACAGGCGTACGCCGGCTTCTTATATATTGTACACTAAATTAATTGGTGGCTGCTATGACTCCTTTACATTTGTAAGCAAGTTCAGAAGCAGCCGTGTTATTATCTGACAGTTATATGTTCTTCTGAATCACATTCTCTCTCATCAGAATCAGTCATACTTATGTTATTATTATTATTATTATTCTTCAATTATAGATGTATGCAGTCAGAGACTATGACATCTACCTGAGAGCTTTTAGTTCTCAGGGTTTTTCCTATATCTGTAAAGTTAACTATTATACATTCATCAATTTCAGATATGCAAAATCAGAAAATTCCAGCCCAGAATACAAAAACTGTTTACAAATTGCAGTGTTTTAACATCTTCTGATACTTTGAAACCATTTGACAATATCATGACAAAGGAAAAGAGAACACAGTCTTAAAGATAGACACATTAAATAGATAGACAGAAAGAAATTGAAAGGAAAAGACAAAGTAAAGAAAGACTGTAACAAAACAAATTATTAAAAGATAGTATATAGCTGTTTTAACAGATTATATCTGATTGATTTCCTCCTCTTCATATTCAGATAATTCTGAATTTAGTCATTTTCTTGTAGCTGCTTGAGTTTCTGATAGAAAGTCTATTAAATATTTAATTCCTGTCTCAGTTGAGAATAAGAATCTCATATTTAATTGATTTAGATCATACTTCTCTTTCAATCTGACTCTGAGACTATTGTATAACACACAGTGCATTACAATATGCTCAGAATTCTCATTTGCATTGCAGAATGAGTATTCTATTGAGTCAAATCTATCATCAAATCTTTGTATATAAGATTTGAAATAGCCATGTCCTAGTTTCAGCTGTATTATAGATGAGAATATTTTCTTTTTACATTTAATTGAACAAGATTTCCACTTGGGTTTTATTTCAAATCTTGAATAATGTATACTCTTCTTTTGTTTCTGCCAGCTTTCATTTCACTTGTCTAAACAAGATTCTTTTATTTTTCTCTTTATAAAAGACCAGGACACAACTTTTTGAATAGATCTGCTTAATTCTGCACTCTTTTTTGCAGCTGAATCAGCCAATTCATTGTCATGAATATTCATATAAGCAGGAACCCAGTGTAAATAAATTATCAGCTTTGATATTCTGCTCTTTTGAATTTTCAAAACAGAGTTTAAGATCAGTTCAAGATTCATTTGATCATTATAAATCTGATTATTTCTAAGTCTTTTTAAAGCAGCTTGACTATCAGAGAATATTCATGTCTCTTTCAAACTATTTCCTCTTTTATGAGATTTTATTTCTATGAGTTTGAAAGCTTTCAATATTGCAAATAGTTCAGCATCAAAGACTTCAGATTCACAGCCTAGATTCCAGAAATCTGAGATAAAATTGATATTATCTTCAGTATAAGCAATGCCTGTACCTAATCTATTCAGATTCTCATTCTTTGAGTCATCTGAATAAATCAGAATAGAGTTTTTTATATTG